TTTTTACTTTCATTGTTAGGTTTGCAAGCAAAGGGAAATTTCGTGAAAAAGTGAGAGAAGAAGAAAGAAAGAACTTAATTGAAGAAATCAAAAGTTGGGGGATGAAATCCTTTAAGCTATAAATCTAGCCCATTGAAACCAAACCCAACCCAACACCAGCCCATTTCAATTTAAAGCCTCAAACCCAAAAGCCCAAAAATCCAAAAAACCCAAGCCCACCAACTACCCAAAACCCATTTAACTCAAACAAACCAAAAAAAAAAAAAAAAAGGATCATTTAACCAATTTTTTTTTTTTTAAAGTTAAATCTTTTGCTCTCCAGAACCTTCTTCTTCCTCCTCACCTCGACCTTCTCCCTTTTCTTCCCAAACCAACACCCCTTGCTCTTACTCCCGACGCCCCTGCCTCCTATACGCTGCACCTGCGTCCCTGCTCCCTGCTCTATGGCTAGATCCTATGAAGACTAAATCAGAACAAGCAAGATCACAGGAATCAAATCCAGCAACAGCATATAAGCTAAGAAAGGAAACAAAAGATATTAGAAGGGAAAAAGGATCAGCTAAGGATACAGAAGATATCAGAAGGAAAAGAGCATCTCCAACTATTACTCATAGTGCATAGTTTAAGGAGAAATCAAGCAATGGTCAAGACCAAAATTTTAGGCATATACTTAGAATATCTTGTATATATATATACTAACATATGTATGTAGTTATTCATTAGATTGAATACAATTCAGTATACTCAAAGTTCTCTCTTTTCATAAGTTTTCTTCATGGTATCAGAGTAGGTCACAATCTGCATCTGAATACTTTGTTTCTTCATTAATAATATCATGTTCCTTCTTGAACCACCTTTACCTTTTCCATTCCTTTTAAGCCAGAAATTACCATATTGACTTTATGGCTAAAAACAAGAACAAGTTGACCATCCAAAGCTTCCATCAAATGGCAAGCTTGGTCTCGGTCAAGCTGTCAAGTTCCAACTTCCTACTTTGGAAATCTCAAATTTTCCCACTTATTAGGAGCGCCCAACTTCTACAGCATCTTGAAGAAGAGGCTCCAGCAACTACCATTACCGAGGACGGCAAAGAAGAATCAAATCTAGATTATGATATATGGCTGAATAATGGATTGTTGACAAGTTGGCTACTTGGAACTATGAATGAGGAAGCACTTAGCTTGGTCGTTAGCTGTGATACAGCCTTTCAAATCTAGAAATGCCTCAAGGAGCATTATCTCGCCTCAACCAAAGAACAAGAGCTTCATCTCAAGGGACAATTGGCAATCAAAAGAGGAGATAGTTAGTCTCTTGAGGATTTTATCAGGAAGTTCAAAAGAGTTTGTGACAAGCTAGCTGCAATCCGCAAGCCTCTAGATGACCTAGATAAAGTGTTTCAGTTATCTCGAGTTGTAGGGATAAGATATCAGCCGTACAACCTGGCAGTCCTATCAAAGGAACCATATCCCACCTTCAATCAATACACTACAAGGCTACTAAATAATGAGAGGGATATTCAAGCTATAGAGCTAGAAAGCAAAGATAAAACTACTGCATATTCTCAAGTTTTTGTGGCACAAAGGGGGAGAGGTCATCGAGGCAAAGGATATGGTGGCAAGCATTTCAATTCTAGAGGATGAGGATTTGTCCAAGCTGGAAATTACAATAACAATTGGACTAGCAATACCAATTGGACCAACAACAACAAAAGCAATTTAGTGAATAACAATCCAACACCCCAGCAAGCTTTGCCTCAAAAATTCCAGCAAAAAGCTATGAAGCAAAAAGGTGAGAATCCATGTCAAATATGTGGTATTGCAGGGCATACAACATTAAAATGCTGGTATCGTTTTGATCATGCTTATTAAAGTGAGGAGTTACCACAAGCACTTGCAACATTCACTGTGAAGGATAAAGATGAAAACTACTATGTGGATACTAGAGCCTCAGACAACATGATTTTTTATTCAAGTAAACTTTATTATAAAAGGCCTTATAATGGAAATCAGAAGGTTTTTACAGGTGATGGCACTCCATTACATATCTCACATATTGGTATTGCTTCTCTTGGAAGATTAAAACTTAATGATGTGCTTGTTGTTCCTAATCTTAAGAAAAACCTTATTTCTGTAAGCAAAGTTACTGATGAAAATCCTTATATTTTTGAATTCTCATCTAATGGTTTTGTGATTAAGGATCAAATAACTCAAGCGGTGGTGGCAAAAGGAACTAGGAAGGGGCAATTATATGCACTGGAAGAAGGAGAAAAACATGCTTTAACAGCTATTTCCAATAAGGCCTCAGATTCTATTTGGCATCAGAGATTAGGACATCCCAATTCTAATGTTTTAAGGACTCTAGCTTCTAAGAATAACATTGCAGTTTCAAACTGGACCAAAACTCCTCATTTATGTTCTGGTTGTCAAATGGGGAAAAGTTGTAAGCTATCCTTTAATAGAAAAAAATGAAAGAACTGAATTCTTATTCTAGAAAGTACACTGTGATTTATGGGGCCCCTCTCCAGTTCAATCCACTAACCAGTTTATTTACTATGTAATTTTTGTAGATGATCACACCAGGTACTTGGTTCTATCCACTTCACAAGAAATCTGACTTTTTTTATGTGTTTCAGAAATTTCAAAGAATGATAGCAACACAATTTAACAAGAACATACAGGTGTTCCAGTGTGATGGTGGTGGAGAATTTTCGAGTAAG